AGACTGTCAGTAAACTCACACACTGGAGGAGAGCGGAAGGCCTCATATCCTACAACAGCACAGGAAACGATGTCTGCAGGATCAAAGTTGTCTGAATACGAAATAGAAGTTTGTCCCCAAATCTCCCGTCCATTCTTGAACCAGATGTAGCGAGGAAGACCAGGTGGAAGACAGCTGCTCTGACACTTCATCGCTGCCCTGTTGGAAGACTCGTAGGCATGTAATCTGCTCACATGGACCTGGAGATCTGAAGATGTGAATAAGGAACAGACGTCTTCATCTATTCACACACATATAAACACACAGATGCAAGTAACTTTCACAAGAAGTTGAAAACTAAAATACTAAATGTTCAGATGAAAATGTTACCTGTGACGGACAGAGAGACTCCAGGTGAACCACTATATTTCCCACCTGGTTGGTTTGTTATGAACCTGAACTTGTACTCAGCTGAGTCGCTCTCTCTCAGGTCTCTGATCGTCAGAGTGCAGACTTTGTTTACACAGTGAGACTCCACACGACCTGAATACTCCGGGTCTGTTCTCAGATCCACATGAACATCTTTAACCTCTTTAGTGAACCAAAATGTCTTCTCAACTTGGGTTTTAAGGCCATTTACTGTGGATGGGTGTGTGTAGCTGCAGCGTATTTCCACTGTTGATCCCTTTAAGGCACAGACCTCAGTAGGAGTGTAAGTCACTCCCCAGACATCCTCACCCTGAATCACTGTAACACAGCAGAGCACAGCAGGAAGCGTAATCAAAGGTTTGTTAAGTTACCAGTGATCTGGTGAAAGGTGACCTGGACAAGCTTGAACATCATCAATCATCAGATCAGCTACTTGTAGTCATTTTCATAAAAACCTGTGAATCATGCATCAATCTAACTAGAACTGAACTGCAATAAAGTGTCTGGATGCTTTGGATTTGGTCCATTCATTCAAAAAAAGGTCCAAAAAAGCCTGAAAATGCATCTCATATGCAAACAACATAAAATGATGAGGAGGTATTAAACACGTTTCTCTGTGACAAGAGAAGTATTAACTATAAAATACTTACATGATATCTTTCTTCCTTTAATTTAATTTTCTGAAATAAATTTTGAATCTACCAAATACAACAAAAAGTGTTGTGTTCATCATTTCATATATATATATATATATATATATATATATATATATATATATATAT